GAGATTCTCTATCCCTTTCCTTCCGTTCCTCCCCCCCCAAAATAAATAAATCTTTAAAATAAAATAAAATCTTCAAAAGGAAAAAAAAAGATCAGCTAGCACAAAAGACGACTATCAGGGCTGGGTATTACCAAGCTCAAGCAAATTAATGTCTAAAATGTCTTACTATTTACATTTTTGCAATGTCAATCATAACCAGCATCTAGAGGCTTTTTACAACTAATAAACATTTTAAAAGCATTTAAATATCATTCCTCCTCAAACAGCGCATAACCTTTCAATAGGCTTGGAAATGTCAAAAGGATGGGTATTTGAGAACTAAAATTTAAAAAAGGAAAAAGTATTCAATAAATCTAAAGGAGGAAGTTTAATGCCACTAGAAGAGGGATAGCTCTATTTTTCTGTTCAAGTCACTTAGAATTAGTTGATTTTCTGCAAAATACACAAGAAAATGTATTTATTATTCCTGATTTAGGAAGTGAATTCACTGAGTGAGAGAAGTGCTCATCTCTGGAAAATCATGCTTAGAAGCGATGTCAGGCTATAGCCACAATGCAGAATGTCACAATCTTCTGCTCATACTCAAGAATTCAAATCGGCACCAACACTCAACTACAGAAATGAGCCAGAAAAGATAAGGAGACAGTAGAGCAAAGAATGAACAAACTTCAATTTGCAGACATCTCTGACATTCAGAGAAGCTTCATCTCTATCCAAGTTTCTCACTACAAATTAACCCACCTACTGCCAAATTCTGAAGCACCAATTATTATTTGACCAAAATAAAAAGAAAAAAGGAGTTAAGGAAATAACACCTATCCCCATATTTACATAGTTCTAATCTTCCTGAAAGACTTATACTTGTTTTATATAAACCATCTCAATTCTCATGGGAGGTAGACAGAGTCAAGTTTCTGGAGGAAAACAAGCACAAAGGGATTAAGTATCTTGTCCAGCAAGTCACCAGTGAAAATAAAACCAGACCCAATTATTTAGCCTACAAAGTCTAAATAACCTGCTTTCCTTGGTTCATAAACTTAGGACAATATTTTCAAGTGCCTACTAACTATCACAAACCATAGAACTTCACGGAACAATACATATAATCAGAACACTGTGCCAGAATTGAATATTCTGAGCAAGAAAATACTGCTTGCCCCAAATCAATAAAATGAACTAACACAATAGACTTAAAAAATGCAAGGAGGAAACAATAGCCATATTGGAGAGAATTTTCAAAGGTCACTCTATTCATCTTATATCCTACTGCTCAAATTCTCTGCCAGGGAGCCAAAGGGGCCAAACATGCTCCTTATAACATACCCTACACGTATATCAAATCTCAAAATACTGCAAAGAATTTCGATGAAAGGCATATTATGCTTGAAAAACCTTTCCCTCCAAAATAAAATCTTATAGCAATGCCTTCAGAACATTATTTTGTTGCCTTCATGATGCACTTTAAATCTGGATTTTTTTTTTTTTAAGATTTTATTTATTTATTTGACAGAGAGAGCCAGAGAGCACAAGTGGAGGGAATGGCAGAGGGAGAGGAACAAGAAGGCTCCCCACTAAGCAGGGAGCCCGACGTGGGGCTCGATCCCAGGACCCTGGGATCATGACCTGAGCCAAAGGCAGATGCTTAACCATCTGAGCCACCCGGGAGCCCCTAAATTTGGATTTTAAAAATGATTAGCTCCCAGTTTATTTTTTAAATATTTATATTTACAGATTCAGATTACTTAAAATGTGTTGTTCTGCTAAGCCCTCATTATGTTTAGGCAAGATTCCCACTTCCACTCAAACTTATTATTTGAACTTACAATGGCCGCATTAAGATACTTCCTAAACTGACAAAAGGAGAAAACTAATCAAACCAGAAAGCTTCCCAAGGTATCAAAGCAGACCTTTTATTTGAAATCATACTAGGTACTACATTACACACTACATGAAACCCACAAAGTGATAATTGAAGTTATTTCTGCAACATGATGAAATAATTTTTTTGCAAAATCTGACAAGACTGAATTTTCAACTGTCAAAAGGGAAATCGTTTTTCCAAGATTCTAGAAAACCCTGCTTACTAAGGCAGTCTCAAAGCAGTTTCCTTAATCCTTCCAAATCCCAAAGAATCTAACACAAGCCACAGAACACTGAATGAGACCTGCACTGAAATATCTGTGCTCAAACCCCTGAAGGTTATTTCCTGTGTCTGGCAAGCTGATTGGCTGTATGTCCACACAACCCCAAAAGTCTTTCCTCAATAAAGCTAACACTACACTCACTAACTCAAATCAAAATACCAGAAAATCCAAAAGCCTCCAACCAAATTTTACTTGAACTATTTGGCAGAAAAAGCCAACAACCTAGGATCAGTTATTTGCAACCTTGAAAGAGAGTTAAAGAATCGCAGATCTCCATTCCTGCCACTTTTAGGAGCTGGATGTACATTACCTCTGTCTGCCTCTAGCATGGGACTCAGATATTACATCACTCAAAGCCTGAAAACTGCCCCATTACCCAGAAAGCACCAGGGTAGCTGAGACACTGCACCAAGGTATCCCTTCCTCCCTGATACAGCCTTCGAATGCTACAGACACTGGGCCCTGCTCTCTCGCAGTTATCTTCACAAAGGCATCTGCCCTGCACCTGCTGCAATCCTATTTCTATTCACTTGTGGTGCACTCCACACAACCCTGTATGGCTCTTCCATCTGCACATTTGTCAGTGCAATGCACTAGGACAATATCCCACCACATACCTCCTCCAAACTTGGGAGTGTGTACTACTCAGCTCTCCCTTACCCCTTCCCCATTCACAGAGTTCTGGAACTAAAATCGGGCTTCTTGATTTTTCTGATCCTAGAGGCATGAACTTCCAAATATGTACAGGGTTTAATGTCCTCCATTTTTCATTAATATCATTCCAGGATCCACATACACACACTACACACATTCTTCAGTTCTACATACAGAATGTAATCCCCTCTCTTTTGTTTTGTTTTGGTTTTTGTTTTTTCAACTTCTGCACTCTGCCTTCTCTTTTATTTCCAGTGACCTAAAATTTTTGAACCCCTTTAATCTCTCAAGACTCAAAGTTTTCCAGTCTCTCCCCACTCTTCAGCACCCTGCTCCTGTTCCTTCCATTCTCTTTTAAGCAACCTGTTTTCCTAACTCTCTCAAACCTGAATAGTCATTTCCTGCCCCTAAACCTGGACAACGTGCTTCCCCTACCACCGCCCCAATCCAATACACAACCTATCCCTTTCTAGTCACAGACACATCCACACAACTCCCTACCTTGCCCTTCTTTTACCCCATTATATACTATGCATTCTTCTACGTCCTCTACCCAAAAATATCCTGTTTTCCCCCATTCTTCCCTCTCTTTCCTGCCCATCCACTTCTCTACCAGACAAAATCTAGCACCCCCAAGCTATGCTTCCCTCCCTCTACACACTGTATGTACTCCAGACCTGCATCCTTCCCCTTCCAACCTATCCCCTCCTACCTCCCTCTACTGATTTCCCTTCACACACGTACCACCCCCCCACCCCTTCTTCTCCCTAACTTCCCTCCACACTTCTGCCCCCAAAACATTTCCTTCCATCTGTTTTCATACTTCACCTGCCACTCCAAGAACATTTCCCTCACCCCCTACACCTTTGGCCCTCTACCTCACACATACTCCACTCCACCTGTCCTCTGCAGTGTCTCCCCAACCCCAAAGTTTCCTATCTTGCTGCTTCCCCACCTACATTTTTACTTCCCCTACCTACATCTATACTTCCCACAAGAACACTCTCCATTTCACTCACATCTGCTACCCGTTAAATACCCTGCATACCTCCTGTCCATCCCCGTCATCCTACTCCACTGTCCTCACTTCTCTCAAACTCTGGCCCTGCTCCAATCACCTTCCTCCCCCCCCCCATACTGTTCTCCCCTGAGCACCACTCACCAGTGAGACACCTGTCTTCTCCCCCCCTCCAACAACATGCCCTCCCTTCGCATGTCCCACGTGTCCAGCCTCAACACTCTCCTGCTTCCTTCTTGTCTTCCCTACACACCTCCTGACCAGACACAGTCCTCACATCCTTCACAGGTCTCCTGAAGCCTCTGGGCCTACCCTCACACACACCTCCCTGCAAACCTCCATTTCCCTCACCATCACTCCAGAGACCCCTAGACACCTCCGTCCCTCTCTCCCCACCACACTTCCCCCTACCTGCACATCTTCCTCCACATTTCCCTTCACATTTGTCCGGTGGCCTTCCTTAAATCTGCCCCCACTCCCTGCCCCTAACACGCAGCCCCGACCGGGACATCCGCTTCTTCCACTCCTCCCTCGAGTCCCTAATTTCCTCCTTCCATTCCCATCACGCTCGCCTCCACCCTCCCCAAAGCCTCCCTCACACCCTCCCGAACCCCCCCAGACTGCCCCCCACCCGCCTGAATGTCCTCCATCCCTCTCGCACTCGCCCTGGCCCCACTGGGCCCCCGAACCTGCCCGAAGGCCCTCCCGCTCCGTTGGGCCGGATCCCTCCACCCTTCATTCTCCCCCAAGTCTGCCCACACCCTCCGCCAGCCCCCCAAGCCTCGCTCCCAGCCCCTGCCCCCAATGTCCTCCAACACCTGCCCGGAGCCCCTCGCCCTCCATCCTACCGAGACCCCGGGCGCCGGGTCCCCCCACGCTGCCCACGCCCTCCCCTCACTCGGGGCCGGGACCCCGTCCCCCCGAAGGTGAGGAAGGCTGCCCGCTGCCCTTGCCCGAAGCGGCCGGGGCACCGCAGCGGCGGCCACAATGCCAGAGCCACGGGGGCCGGGATTGCTCCCTGTTCTCCGCCGGGGCCGCCGGGGCCGCCGCCGCCGCTGCTAAGGACGCACAACAAACAATGCGGGGCCCGGGCCGGCTCCGCCAACCGCCTCAACCGCCGCCTCAACCGCCGCCCGCCCGGGACGGCCCGCCGCGCAGGCGCCTACCCCGCCGCCGCAGCCTACCCGCACCGCCGCGCTCTGCCCGCGCCCGGTCCCCGCTCCCGCTCCGCCGCCGCCGCCACCTCGTCCGCCCGCGTCTCCGGCTCCTCAGCCCAGCGGCGGCGGCTGCGGCGGCTGCTGCCCTGGTGGCGCTCGCGGCTCCGGTCTCCGCTTCGGCGGCGGCGGCGGCGGCGGCGAGCACGTGACACCGCCCAGCGCGCCCATTGGCCGATACGGGGGGCGGGCCCGCGGCTGCTGGGGAACGGAAAGCCCGCCCCCTCGCTCGCCGCGCGCCCCCTCCACGCGCGCTCTGCCGTACCTGAGAGCGCCGGCCGGCGCCCGCCGGCGCCGGGCCGCGCCGCCGCCTGCGCCAACTGCGCACCTGGGAGCGCGCAGGGACCACACGCTGGTGGAGGCCGCATGCACCTGCGAGCGGACGCTTACGTAAGCTGCGTCCCCGCCTTTCTCCCGGCGCCGGGCCCCCGCCCGCTGCAGCACCTGAGCCCCGCTGCGCTAACAGCGTAACTGCTGCGGAGCGGGGACGAGCTGCGCAGAGAGGCAAGCGAAATGCACGGAAACTTCGTAACTTCCGAATCTGGGAGCGGCTCCCGGATGCCACTGCGAGCCGGCCTCTCCGGCCCCGCGCCCCAGTGGAGAGTGGCCCCCCCCAGCCCCAGAGGCTAAGCAGCGGAGTAGGCTGCTCAGCGCCTCCCCAGGTGGAGGACGGAGAGGCCAGTGGGCTTTGACTTGGTAAGAGGTTCTCTCCCAGCCTCCGCCCCTGCTACACTTACCAGCTGTGTGACCTTGACCAAATTAGAGAACCATTCTGATCGTCAGTTTTATGGTAGGGAAACTAGGACAATAATTCCGATTTAGAAGCTGTTGGAGAGATGCAAAAAGACAATAGGTGTGAATTCTCTCAGCACATAGCAGGCACGGAACAGAAGTTGCAGCTTAATCAGCAACCACCTCTCCTTTTCCCACCCAATGGACCTACCTGGGATTGAGTTTGAGGCCAGGACCTCTCTGACCTCATTGTTGTTGTGTCAGATTTTGGCTGAACACCTGTCTGGGCAGTGCTAAGGAAGAAATTAAGTTTTACTTTTTTGGTACAGCATTCTGCCAGCCAGTTCGGCCCCTTACTGAGTATCTGCTGCATGCCAGGTGCTGTGCTGGGTGTTAGGCTGCACAAGTGAATGAGACAAGGTCCTTGCCCTAAGGGAATTCCCAGCCTGGGGTGGGAAACAACCAGACCACCCAGCAGTAGGATTTGGAGAGCTGGAGGTCCAGGAGGGATCTCCCATAACAACCCCTTCTGGGCCTCTTCCCAGTTTTGTAACATGCCAGATTCAAATGTTTTAACAGCTCTGCTTCATTTGCAAGATAAAGTTTGAATACTCTAACTCTAAAAAGTTTTGGTGATCTGGCCTTAAGTTTCAAGGTGCATGCCCTTCCCTTTGCCCCTCCTTCTGGCCAACTTGACCCTCTAGCTACACTGAACTTCAGCACTGTAGTTGCCAGAGCCTGTAACACTTCTGAGCTGCCTGAGCCAGGAGCTAGGCCCTAAATCCCTTTCTACACCCTGTCCCCACCTCCTATCACCCTCACCTTTCTTTACCCTCCTGGAAGACTCCTTGGGGTTCTTAGTCAACTCGGAATGTATTCTCCCAAAACTTCTTTGGCTGCTTCAGACACATTGTCTAAATTCCTGCGCTTTGCATACAGCTCATTAAACCATGTACTCTTATAGCACTAGATTGTAATTGTTTGTCACATCCCTGGACTGTAAGCACCTTGAGGACTTGATTGGGTTAGGGAGGACTGCACAGGGAGGACTGCACATACACATGCAATGAGGTCATTAAAGCTGGGCTTTCCAAGAAGAACATGAATCTGCTTGGAGGAGAAGAGCTGCTGCTGTGTAAAGGTCTGGGTTCTGTGCACACTAGCTGTGTGACCTTGGAAAATCAGTCTCTCTAGGTCTTAGATAACTCATCTGTCAAGTGGGACCATAATACTGCATACCTCGTTATAAGGATTCAGTGAGGCAGTATATCTCAGGCACTCAGTATAGTGCCTGGCATTAGCTCAATTTCTAAATTGTTTTAAGTAGGTAGACTGCAGAGCATTAAACATTCATTGGTGTCACTTATTTCAATATCTTTATTGGGTTTATAACTCCAAACATTCCTGACCAAAAAACATGCAAATGATATAAAAGTAAAGAAACTAAAAATTTCAAGTGTGCCTCTCACTCTACTCCCTCTACCCCTAATCCCACATCCCAGGGCAGTTACCACTAACTTTTTCATGTCCTACAGTATATGTCCAGAGAGAGAAGAAAACTGCAAAAAATTACATGTCTATGATGTGTGTGTTATACTTGGATTTTGCATAGAAAAAGGCTAGAAAGGGTTAAACACCAACTACTACTGTTATTCCTCGAAAGTAGAGCTAGGGGTGGGGATGGGCACTTTGAATACTTCTGCATTGCTTTAATTATTTAAGAATCATATATATAACTAAAATAAATATATATATAACACATTTTTAAATGTTATTGAGGTATGTTTACATATCCTAAAACTCATGCATTTCAAGAGCACAGATCAAGGATTTTTAGTAATGTTACCAAGCGATGCAACATCAGTATGTCAGTTTTAGAACATTTATGGATGCCCCATAAAATCCCTCAGACCCATTTACTGTTAATCCCATTCCCACTCCCAGCCACAGGCAACCACTAATCTATTCTGTCTCTATATTTTCGCTTTTTCTGGATATATTAGATACATTTTTTTAAATCAAATAGATGTTTTAGAAAAAAAGTGTTTTTACCTCATAATCCCACCTAGTGATAGTAATCATATTCATATTAATTACATATAATATTAATATTACATTTATTGCTCCAAATTTGCCCTGTGCATATAAATATATATAACTTTTACAAAGGGAGATTATAGTATACCTTCAGTTTTGATTTTTTTTACTTAACAATATAAAGTAAATACACCTCTTTTTATGTTACCGAACACTCTCTTGCATAACGTGTCTTAAGAATCATTTAATTAAACCAAGACCCTATGTTGGGTATCTGGGTCTTTTTCCAGTATTTCCAGTTATAAATATGGTAAGGTACTAGATATTGTAAAGTTATAGAACTCGATGAGCTTTAAAATCACACCTAAATTCAAATACGAGCACTTGTTGTTTCATCCATTCATTACACAAATATTTACCGAGAACCTACTACCTGCTAGTAGATACAAAAGCAAGAAAACAGCTACACTGCCCTACCCCTATGGCCCTAGACGTCAATGTACATTGCTCAAATAACACTGAATGGCCCACAGAGAAGGGAGCAACCAACAGAGGGGGATAGATGGGCTTCTCAAAGGCTCTCTGAAGAGGCATCTTTGGAACATACACTTGGCACGTCACTCTGCCATTTTTACAAAAGGTGCTTGGTAGGGACGCCTGGGTAGCTCAGTCAGTTAAGTGTCTGCCTCTGGCTTAGGTCATGATCTCAGAGTCCTGGGATCGAGAGCCCCGCGTCAGGCTCTCCACTCGGTGGGGAGTCTGCTTCTCCCTCTGCCTACAGCTCTGCCTGCTTGTGCTCTCTCTCTCTGTCAAATAAATTTTAAAAATCTTTCTTTCTTTTTTTTTTTTTAAAAAGGTGCTTGGTAAAAGGAGTTGGATTGGTAACTTGTGAGAGCAGTGGGCAGCCCTTCCCAGTTCCTGGTGCCTGACCTCCCTTAGCTCTTTGGACCTTCACATCTCCCCACTGAAGAGAAGAAAACAGAGGAAATTGAAGCCCAGATAAGGAAGTGAATTGCCCAGAGTCACCAAGCCAGGAAAGGGCACAGCTGAAATTGAACTCTGGTCTGACTTCTAGCCCAGGGCTCTTGGTCCCCAGCGCTACTGCCCTCTATAGAGGGTGGTCATCTTTGAAGAACCACACTGAGAAAGAGGCAGAAAACATGCAACACTATACTCTCTGATACAAGAGATACTAGCCACATGTGGCTATTTAAATTTAAATAAATGAAAATTAAATAGGGGCACCTGGCTGACTTAGTAGAGCATGCAACTCTTCTTAAAGATTTTATTTACTTATTTGAGAGAAAGAGCATGGGGGGGGGCAGGCGGAGGGAGGGCAGAAGGAAAGGGACAAGCAGACTCCCCACTGAGCACGGAGCCTGAGTGGGGCTCCTGAGCTGAAGTCAGATGTTCAACTGACCGAGCCACCTAGGCACCCCAAGCATGTGACTCTTGATCTCAGTGTTGTAAGTTCGAGCCCCACATTGGGTGGAGAGATTACTTAAAAACAAAATCTTGGGGTGCCTGGGTGGCTCAGTCATTAAGCGTCTGCCTTCGGCTCAGGTCATGGTCCCAGGGTCCTGGGATTGAGCCCCGCATCGGGCTCCCTGCTCTGTGGGAAGCCTGCTTCTCCTTCTCCCACTCCCCCAGCTTGTGTTCCGTCTCTCACTGTGCCTCTCTCTGTCAAATAAATAATTAAAATCTTAAAAAAAAAAATCTTTTAAAAAATTGAATTAAATTGAAAATACAAACAAATAAAACATTTCTGTCATTGTAGAAAGTCCTATTAGCGCTGATCTAGAGGAATAATAACAATATTATCGTAGTAGAAATAGCAATAATACCTTACTTGTATATTATTTTCAAAGCAGTTGCCCTGGGAATAGAGAGTTCAGTCTGGTCTCCTTATCCGTCATTTCCCTACCCCTCTCCCTACCATAGGCCAGCTCTACAGAAAGAAGCTGAAGACAGAAAGGTGGCTAGTCATGCTGTGGGTGAAGGGTAGGACACAGGGGATGTGACATCCTTCAACTTCTTGCCATCATGTTTCTAAATCCACCTATGCATCTCCAGCCATTCCCTCCTTCCCTCCTTTTACAAAAATCAGCCCTCTCACCAAAGACCAGGTCTTTTTCCTGGGCCTGGATGTCCTTTCCTACCCTCTAAGGAAGTTTACTCTTTAATCCACCATTCTCTGCTATGTCAGCCTCTCCTTTCCCTACTAGATTCTTTAGATTCTATTGCCCAAATAATCTTTTCCATTCTAAGGGAGGAAGAAAGGGAGGGAGGAAAGAAACAGATTCAAAGGTGATCCCATGCACCTTACAGTTGAGAAGCATTGACCTAAGATCAATAGCT